ATCTTATTACAATTTTTAAACTCATTCTGTTATTAAAAAAATCAATTATAATAATAGAAACTTTATACAATAATAAATTACTTTATTTTCAATATTCCGTTTAATGTCAACTTTCAAATTCTTTTTTCATTAAAAAATTTTTTTAAAGTTTTTTTTTATGTTTATCTTCAAATTTTAAACATGTATCACTTTCTTAGCATAAAGAGAGATACAATAAAACTTGGCAAATGATTTATCAATACATTTAATAATAACTTCGTCATTTGCAAATGCTGCATTATTTGCTTACATACTGACCTGTTCTTTAAAAATCAATTTTAATTGTTCGGACACAATTCCAATATTTTATTGAAATCATCGACGCATCAGTTTCATCATCGTTTACATTATCAATAATATGCTGTAAACAAGAACAAGTATCTGATTAAGAACTCTGATAATTGAGGAAAATGGAATACATATCATAAAATGCATCATTCTCTCATATTTGTAAGATAATATTAATTTTAAATGTTTGCTTTGAAAAAATAATTTTACGCACGGAACTCGAAGCAAATTATAACAATTTGAGTATGCATGAATTCGCATCAAAGGAAATTGACGCTGCAGAGACTTTTCTGTTCTGTAACGCTCTGATGGATAATATTTCATGCCTTAACCAGCTCTTCTTATTAGTTATGACATAACAATCATTTGTTATAGATTTACGTGTCATTACGTAATGAAGTTAGCAGAAACAAATCAGAGTGTCAAACCGTTCCACATGATTCATCTGTCTAGTCTATTCGGCAAATCGGTAAATGCGATGACTAAAAGCGTTAAATTTGTTTGAGGAGTTACAATTATGCTTCAAGCGAATGATTCACGTTCAATAGCAAAAGACTGATGTGCTATTACAGTTATTACGCTCTAGGATGAGCACGTGCCATCATTGACTCAAACTTAAGGACGCTAAAAATGATCCATCGATTCGATCGAATAAATCGGTTAGAAATTCATCAATGAGAAATACTATATCATGTCTTACTCGGAAAAATTATCTTTATAGATAAAAGATTTCACAATAATTAAATAGAAACTTGGATCCCGCTGAAATGAATTAGTTTTCACACATAATATAGTTCATCATATTGTGATGAACAAAAGATGTCATAGATATGAAATTCAATAATGGATAATTTCTGAATAATCAAAGGTGCTCTGTGAGTTCAAATTTTACTTCTTTAATGCATAGCTCAAAAACTATCTAATGCACGGAAAAAAATATATTGGGTAGTACAGGAAAGCTACAATTTATTGTACGAATTCCGACATCTAAAACTAAAAAGATTTGATACTTTAACGATTCGTTAATATTATTCAACTGTTAACTGCTTCGACATAAAAAACTGACTGTATACACACACACACACACACACACACACACACACAAAACAATCAGTTTTATATATATAAAACGACCGTAGATTTGCTGAATCAGTAAAGTTTTTAGCTGCAGTGCTTCTTTCCATATGAATAGAAGAGAAGGTGATATTATCCTAGTTACATTTTACACAATAACTTGGTTAATAATCAATATTTAAGTTTAAAACTTAACAATTACATTCGTTAAAATCGAATCAATTCTGGACTCAAAGTTACAAAATATTTATTAGTTAGGACACTATTAATAAAAATGTGGCGACATTGCATAATGACTTGAAGAAAAACATGGGTAATAATGTGGTCTTTTATAAAAATAGCTTTAAAAAAATTAGTTTTGTTTAAAAAACAATATTTGATCACAAAATTAACAAAAAAGTAATACATTTTAGAATGTATGCAAATAAATGTATGTACATTCACATAACTTCTGCATATAAGATGCTCAGTACTAAAAATCTCAGTACTAAAAATAGTACACATAATATAAACTATAGATTAACAGTAGAGCTATCGATTTATCAAATAATTATTTTGATTTGAAAACCTCAAAAAAAAAGATCATGAGTAATCAATACCCATAGAGGGCCACATTAACAAAATGTAATGCTATTGTTTAAATTTACATAACTTAATATATATATATATA